TTTTTTGGCAGAACTGGGGATTGATCTCAGGCCCTTGCGCTTGCCAGAGAAGTGCTTATTCCGCTGAGCCATCTCCCCGGCCCTCATTTTTTCCTTTTTTTTTTTTTGGCAGGACTGGTTTTTTTGTTTGTTTGTTTGTTTGTTTGTACCAGAGATTGAACTCAGGACCTAGCACTTGTTAGGCACGCTTATGCCACAGAGCTATCTCTTTGGCTTATGTTCTTGATTTTAGAATGAAAGCCTTTGGAGGCTGGGGATATAGCTCAGTGGCATAAGCACCTGCCTGGCAAGCAAAATGTCCTGAGTTTAACCCCCAGTACCACAAAAAAACAACGATCACTTTTACCATGCCTGTAATCCCAGCTCCTTGGGAGGCTGTAAATGGGATTGCTACAGAGTCCGATCTATGAAGTGAGACACTGTACACCCTGTAGACCCTTACTAAGATACAAATAAAACAATAAATAAAAATAAAATAGATAAAGAAAAAAATCTCAGCAGTTTGCAAGTTATTTAGAAGAAAGAAAGCTTTCAGTTTTTGTTCATTTGATATGTTGGGTATCGGTTTTTCATAGATAGCTTTTATCAGATTGAAATAAAGACTATTCCAATTTTCTGTAGGATCTGTACCATGAATGGGTCTTGGACTTTCTCTAATGTTTTTTTCTGCATTCATTGAGATGGTCATATGGTTTTTGACCTTTGCTCTGTTAATATGGTGTATTATATTTATTGGTTTGCATATGCAGAACCATCCCTGAATCCCTGGGCTGAATCCTATTTGGTCATGAAGTATAATACTCTTGATTTGCTGCATTCTGCTTGCCAGTATCTTATTGAGGATTTTTGTGTCCAAGTTCATTAAGGAGATTGGCCTGTAGTTCTCTTTTTGGTTGGATCCTTCTCTGGTTTTAATATCAGGATAATGCTTGCTTCCAGAAATGAATTTTGAAGTATTGCTTCCCTTTAAATTTCACAAGAGTTTGAGTAGTGGCATTAGATGTTCTCTAAATTTCTTAAGGGCTGGCCAGATAGTTCAGTGGATTAAAGCACCTGCTTAGGCAGATGCAGGGACCGGGGTTCGATCCCAGGAGTGCCGTGCCAGCCCTGCCCCTGGGGTATGCTGAGATGGTGAATGAGACTGGGCGTGGTAGTGTGCTTATAATTCCAGAACTTGGGAGGCTGAAAGCAGGAGGATCACTATGAGTCTGATCTGTGTAGTGAGACCCTGTAGACCCTGTACTAAATACATAATAAAATAAATTTCTTGTAGCATTTCAGCAGTGGATCCATCAGCACCTGAGGTTTTCTTTGTGGATAGGTTTTTAATTGCATCTTCAATTTCATTGACTGATATTGGGGTTTTTCACTTTTTTTCCTTTTTGAGACAGGTATTGCTATGTAGTTCAGGCTATCCTTGAGCTCACTTTGTAGTTAGTCTGGTCTTGAACTTGCAACAGTCCTCCTTCCTCAGTCACCTGAGTGCTGGAATTATGGGCATGAACACCCATACCCAGATGATATTGGGTTATTTTAGAATTTTACTGGGGAGATAGTTTGGTGGTCTAAGTGCCTGCCTGTCAAGTGCAAGGACCCGAGTTCGATCCCTAGTACTGCATGATGCTGGCCCTAGAACTCCAGGTATGCTGTGCCGCCCTGAAATCAGGCATGGTGGTACATGCCTGTAATTCCAGTGCTGGGGTGGCTGAGACAGGAGGATTTCTACAGGTCTGAACTATGTAGCAAGACCCCGTATTAAATATAATATAATTAATATTCATATCTTTATTCAGTTTTTGTAATTCGTGTGGATATAGGAATATTTCTTTTGTTTTATGTCTTATGGAATACAGGTTCTTGAAGTAGTTATTGATGATCTGGATTTCTTCAGGATTTGTTGTGATTTCACCCTTTTCATTCCTAATTGCATGGATTTGAGGTTTTTTGGTTTTTTTTTTTGAAACAGTTGGCTCAGGATCTGTCAATTTTATTTAATCTTTCATAGAACCAATTCTTTGATTTATTGATTCTTTGTATTATTTTCTTATTCAATTACATTAACTTCTGCTGTGATCTTTATAGTTTCCTTTCTTGTATAAGTTCTGGGTTTGACTTGCT